TCTGCCGTTTCCCAGCCGGCTTGATGAGCCCTGATATCGCGAGAACAGTCTCGTTGGCACTAGATATAGTAGATATATTGTAATTGATATATTGTTGTAAATTCTACTTTACTTTCAGTCACAAGTTCTTAGAATTACTAAACCAGACTCTTATGACATGCTATTGGCTGAAAAAAACATACAACTAAGCGGTTTCAGGAGAATACTGTGATTACATCATACAGACAACTAAACTGTTTCCAAAGAAAACTGAGATTACACCTGACAGACCGTTAAACGGTTTCAGGATAATACTGAGTTTACACCATAAAAATAATTACTATTCCGCAAACTTATTTCCATTAAAAAGATAAAATAATAACATAGTCAGAACTATCAACTACTCTATCTTGCATTGCTCGTTATCTAAGTTCTCTAATTAACATACTGTAGGTATTGCTATTATTTTGCGTTTTTTACTGTTGTCATTTCTTTGCTCCAATTTCTACGTGTAACATCTTATCTAGACTACAAGGTTTGTTTGTTTTGAATTTCGCGCAAAGCTACACGAGGGCTATCTGCACTAGCCGTCCCTACTTTAGCAGTGAAAGACTAGAGGGAAGGCAGCTGGTCATCATCACCCACCGCCAGACCTTGGGCTACTCTTTTACCAACGAATAGTGTTATTGACCGTCACATTATAACATTGTATTATATATATATATAGTGTTCTAAGACACTTTAACAGCCAGAGAAATTCTCGAACAACAACACAAAAACCCATAACTACTACTTTGGCCTACAGATGATACAGAAATCCCCAGACAGTGTAACATAATATTCAGACAAGGACACACAGAATAACAGAAGAAACTGTAACTCTTTCTTGAACTATAGAATGTGTGAAAACTTCAAGACACTGTAACACCAAATCGAGAGAAAGACAAGAAGAATAGCACATATTCAGGAAAGGACACTACGAATGTCAAAAGAAATTTTAATTCCTACTTCAGTTATAGAAGATAAAGAAATAACAAGACACTAATATCATAGCCAACTACAACCCAAATAATAACAGAAGAAACTATAACTCCTACTTGGGTTATAGAGCATAAATAACTCGCAAGATACTGCAAGATCATACTCCAAAGACACCAAAAATAACAGAAGAAGACGTAGCTCATACTAGGGTTATAGTAGACATAAAAAACATAAGACACTGCCAAGGACACATAGGATAACAAATGAAACTGTAACTCCTACTTAGGTTACAGAAGATACAGAAACCACAAGACAAGATAATATCATACCACGACAAGGAAACGAAGAGAAACACAAGAAACCATAACTCCTATCTGCGCTATAAGAGATACATAAATCACAACACATTGTAACGTGATACCAAGACCAGTACACAAAGAATGGTAGAAAAAGTATAACTCCCTTTTGAATTATATAAAGTACCGAAAACAATAGACATTGTAGCATCATACCCAGACTAACACAAATATAACAACAGAAGAAAGCGTACCTCCTACTTCAGTCAAAGAAAATACAGATATCATAAAACACTGTAGCATAATACCCAGACTAACACAAATATAACAACAGAAGAAAGCGTATCTCCTACTTCAGTCAAAGAAAATACAGAAATTATAAAACACTGTAGCATAATACAGATAAAATACTGTAAAAAACCTAGACTACTACTTGGATTTTGAAGATAAAAATTCACAAGACTCTAAATCATCACATCCAGACTAGGGCGCAAAGAATAATAGAAGAACCGTAACGTCTACTTGGGTTATGCAAGATACAGAAATTAGGAAACACTGTAACGTCATATTCAGTAGAGAACGTTAAGAATAACACAAGAAACTGTAAATCTTACTTGAATTATAGAAAATTCAGAAATCACAAGACACTGTAACATCATACTCAGAATTGGACAGAAACAATATCAGAAAACCGTAACTCATACCTGCATTATAAGAGATACATAAATTATAACACACTGTAACATGATACCCAGACCAGTACATAAGGAATAATAAAAGAAAGTGTAACTCCCATTATAGAAAATACCGAAAACAATAGACATTGTAGCATCATACCCAGATTAGCACACATATAACAACAGAAAAAATCTTATTTCTTATTCAATTAAAGAAATTATAGAAATCAGAAAACACTGTAACATCATACCCACACTAGGACACAGACAATAAAGTAACAAACCGAAACTGCTGCTTGAGGTTTGAATATAAATAATGCACAAGAATCTGTAACATCATATCAAGACTACGACAAAAAAGAATAACAGTACACACAGCAACTCCTAATTATTTATACAAGATACGGAAATCATAAGACACTGAAACATTATACCAGGCCAGAACACAAAGAATAACAAAACAATCTGTAACTCCTACTTAGGTTACAGGAGGTACATAAATCACAAGACTCTGTAACATTATGCTAAGACTACGACACAAAGAATAACAGAAGAAACCGTAACTCCAAATTGGCTTATAGAAGATACAGAAATTGCAGAATAATGCAGCATCATATAAAGACTAAAACCAAAAGATTATCAGAAGATACCCTAACTCTTACTTGAGTTGTAAAACATATAGGATTACAAAACACTATAACATCATACCAAAAATAGGAAACAAAAAATAGCATAAAAAACATAACTCCTGCTTTGGTTATAGGAAATCTAAACTTACAAGACTTTCTGACATCATACATATACTAGGACCCAAATAATATCATACTGAACCATAACTCCTACTTGTGTTGCAGAATATAAAATCACATCACATTCAGAATAGGACACGAAGAATAACAAAAATAACATAACTTCTACTTCATCTATAGAAGATGCAGAAATCATGAGACACTCTAATAATACACAGACTAGGACGCAAAGAATAATAGAAGAACCGTGACTTCTACTTGGGTTATGGACGACACAGAAATTAGAAGACACTGTAACATCATATTGTTGTGTCAGCGAGATCACGTGACTATTCTCACGCCACTTGCTTTCTAGAACTATCCTGTACCTTGGAGAATGCTCTAGCAATTACTAAATATAGGGTAGTCTTGTATATAAAAGAGAGTGACAACGTGAC